AAGAGCATCACCACATAGGGTATAGGGAGCCAACAAGGGGCTAAAACGCATTAAGGTATAACAAGTAAAAAGTTTTTCTGTACTGATTCTATACGGTCCTGGTGTACTTTGTACTGAGGGCACCATACACAGGAGCCGTATTCTAAGATCGGACGAACAAGCGAGGTATAGAGAGTCTTTGTTATATAGGGGTCGTCAAATTCCTTTGACCACCTCTTTATAAACCCAAGCACGCCCATGGCCTTATTTACCATGGTAGAAATGTGTTCGGAAAACTTTAACTTGGGGTCTAACATAACACCCAGATCATCCACCAGGGTAATTCTCTCAAGAGAACCACCAAATAGGGTGTAGGGAGCCAACAAAGGGCTAGAACGATGAAATGTCATAACTTTGCATTTCGCAGCATTAAGCTGTAACAAGTTTGCACAACACCATGACTGAAAGCTATTGAGATCGGATTGCAAGCGAGAATGAAATGAAATGTCCTTGTACTGGACACAGAGTTTAACATCATAAAAATACATAAGTACTCGAGAGTATGTTAATACTGAAGGCAAGTCATTAATAAAGAGTGTGAAGAGTGTGAAGGGGCCTAGATGGCTGCCCTGTGGTACTCCCGAAGAAACCTTTATTGGTAAAGAGAGGGAGTTTTTGAAGAGGACTCTTTGAGACCAAAAACAAAGATAGCTAGAAATCCATCTCAGGAGGTTGGGCGGAAACCTTAAAAGGTCAAGTTTATGTGCTAAAAGGGAATGGTTTACAGAGTCGAATGCTTTACTAAAGTCGGTGTAAATAACATCCGTCTGTAAGTTACCTTGAAAGCATTTAATAATGAAAGAGGTAAACTCTAACAAGTTCGTGCTGGTTGATCGCCGCCTTATAAATCCATGCTGAGTGGGAGATATAAGTGACTTGCAAAGATGTTGCAAGTGTGGAGTTAATACCTTCTCAAACATTTTGGGAATAGCGGATAACTTTGCTATACCTCTATAATTTTTTGCATCAGACTTGCTACCTTTTTTATGGAGAGGAATTATAAACGATTCCTTCCAGATCGGGGGGAAGCAAGAATAATCAATGGACAGGGTGAATAATTTAAGCAGGGTCCACACAGTGCCTCGGCGCAGTACCTGAGTGCACAACCTGGATCCCCGTCTGGACAAAAAGATCGACAATTCCCTGATCATTATTTGCCGACGCATTACGAATTGAAAACGAGGATGTGTGTGCGGACGTTCTACGCTTACTGTTTATGAAGCAGTAAAACTTTTTAGCGTCCTGAGAAAACTTATCTTGCATCGAGATAGGTAGTTCTTATAGCATTGAGCATTAAAAACTGAAAAGTTTGACCGAGCTATTACATAGCGGGAGTGAGAAGTTTGAGCACCAACTTCTTGAAATTTTTTATGTCTTGATTTTAAGTATTTAAGACTGGATAGCTCTTTGGTAAACCAAGGGGGCTTGCCAGGTCTAACCGGACAAGAAAGCGGGACACAAGAATACAAAAAATGTGCCAAGAGCATTGTAAAAAATGTTTGTGCCTTGTATGACATCAGTGCACAAGTACAAAGCGGACCAATCACAATCCGTAATGACGCTATTAAGCTTCTCAATCTCAGAAGAAGCGGACATGTTCAGGTAGCCTATTCGACCGATCCAATACAGTTGGTCCTATATCTAGCGACACTTCGAAAGTAGGATGGTAGGCGTCTTCAGGTATAGTGAGCGGAAGGGCTCGGGTTAACAACACCATGGTCAGATCCGGTACAAAGCATATATCAAGCAATCGACCCAAGGAATTTTTCACATGGTTGACTTGAGACAGGGACAGGTCCAGCAAGCCATCAACAAAGTCATGTCGTAACATGATTGTAATGTAATTTTATGCGTACTCACTTCAACAACAGAAAAACGACAAGCCGACGCCGAAAAATAAAAAGTTAAAGGCAAAAGGCATGCAGCCTCGGAATAGAATAGATTTACAGATTGTAGACTGGTTAGGAAGTTTATTAAAGTTTATTTACGAAAGCACCGGTTGTTTGTGCAAAACAAAAGGAAAAAAAGCGGATCGCAAAAAAAAACAACTTGATTGATTTTACTGTTACAAGAAGAGTGTAGAGCACTTAACAGATCTATCATCAGACCATTCGCCAATCCTACTTCACTTTTATGACCATACACACTTTCTAACTTCTAGCAAAACAGGCTCAAATACAAAACGAGGGGGAACGTTGGGAGTTACTGCAAGAGACCGCAACTCTACATTTATACCCGATACTTAGACAGTATGGCTCTACTCCGGCAGCCGCCGCTAATATTAAAAGACACGACAAAGAGTGCGTGCGAGAGAGACAGAAAATCAGTCTGAGCGTGACGTCGGGCGCTGCGTAGCCACTGCAAATTGATTCGTTCCTTTTGGCTATAAAAATGATCCGATCTGATCCAGATTCATTATCTATGATTCTGCGTTTTTAGTTTTCTCGAATCTGCAATATTGTGGATGCAACAGATTTTCGTCCTTTGTGGGGGCGGAAGGGGGTGGGGCGAAAGTTTGAGATATACCTTTTATAGTGAGATCTAACAGGAGTGGGGATACCAAATTTGGTTCCTCTAGCCTTAATAGTCTGTGAGATTTGTGGATGCTACAGATTTTCTTCCTTTGCGTGGGCGGAAGGGGGTGTGGCGCAATTTTGACACAAAACGGTAAAGGTCCGATATCACAGGAGTGTGGATACCAAATTTGGTTGCTCTGGCTTTTATAGGTTCTGAGATCCTTGAACTCATATTTTGCAATTGGCAAAACCGACCAAGAAACCTGTGTGTTAGAGAGAGTCAGAGGGAGAAATAATGAAATTGTTTTCTTGATTCTGGCTATAATAATTATACGATCTGATTCAGATTTTGCACTCTGGAAGATATAGTCATCTTCTACTATTCTGAGTTTTCTTTTCTTTCGTATCTTCAAAATTGTGGATGCCACAGATTTTCGCCATTTGTGGGGGCGGAAGTGGGCAGGGCAAAGTTTTGAAATATTCTTGTAACATATTCTTGACATATCACAGAAGTCCGGATATAAAATGTCGTTGCTCTAGCTCTTATAGTCTTTGAGCACTAGGCGCTCATAGGAACGGACAGACGAACAGACAGACATGGCTCAATCGACTCGGCTGTTGATGCTGATCAAGAGTATATACATATCATTGCATACATATCATAGTCTTAATTCTTGCACTTCGTTTATCCCCTGCTTCCTTCCTGCTTATGAACTATTTGATTACAGTTTTACAATATTGTATGGTGTACGAGGGTTGCTATTTATATTTCGGGAATGGGCAATACTAAAGCCAATACGTAAAATCTGGCAACGACATAATAAACTTTGTCATTTTTTTTAGCATATATGTACGTACAACGTTTTTATGTACAATTGGTTTTTGTTTTGTTCACGATCAGTTAAAAAAATCAATTTGGCAAAAAAATGGAAATCTCTCGAGAGGGTTTTCGTTGGATTATTTTTCACAACTTTGACGTAAATTATCCCAACAAGAATGTGTTGATGAACTTAGTTCTTTGTATGGCGCGAAAGCACCATTAAAAACGACAGATTATCCCTGGTTTGCAGAATTTTATCGTAGTCGTAGGCCATGACGAATCCCGTTAAGGTCGTCCAAAATCAGCTGTTATGCCACAAAACATCGATGGTGTGCGTGAACTGATCGAACAAGATCGACACGTGACATATCGTGAGATAGAGGCAGAATTGCACATTAGTTCCATTTAATACGTTCCATTTTGCATGAACACTTAGTTGTAAAAAAGGTTTTGTTCTTGCTGGATACTCCATAACTTATCAATCTCTCAAAAAAAGGCTCGCGTCGATTGGAGTAAGGAAATGCTTAAAAAGTTCGACCGAGGTGCTTCAAAAGATGTTTATAAAATCGTGACAGGTGATGAATGATGGATATATGCGTATGAGCCGGAAACTAAACAGCAATCGACCGTGTGGGTGTTTCAAGATGAGCAAAATCCAACAAAAGTTGTTCGAGCACGAAGCACTCCGAAGCAAATGGTCGCCTGTTTCTTCGGGAGAATGGGTCATGTGGCTACTGTTCCGCTAGAGAAACGTAGGACTGTCAATTCTGAGTGGTACACGACCATTTGTTTGCCGGAGGTCTTCGGAGAAATTCGCAAAACCAACTGCCGAGCACGAATCATTCTCCATCATGACAATGCGAGCTCGCACACATCTCGACAAACAGGTGAATTTTTAAGCAGTCAAAACGTCGAATTGATGACTCATCCTCCCTACAGTACTGACTTGGCACCCAATGACTTCTTTTTATATTGGACGTTGACATGCAATGACTGCATCTTTCAAGGGGCGATGCAGTTACTGCACCGTCAAGTGGCCCGTGTGACACCAGCAGAAGGCTGTTACGCGCGGATCCCAGGCAAAACGCAGCCCTCCTCCCGCCCAACCGACCGAGGGGCGCTGCCGCATGACGCGCGGTGCGTAGCCGAACCAAACGCGAACATGCAAGAAAGATAGATATTAGACTAACATTCGAGGAAAATTAGCACTAAACTCACTAAGAAACTAAGCATGCAATCAAAATACAAATACCACTACAGTTACTAATTAATCGAAAGGTGTGTAAGGATTAATAATTTAATAAGAGGAAGAGAATTAGTATTGGATATAATATGGTAGAGGGAATTATAATCCGAGCATAAGACCCTAAACGGTTCATGCAAGGAATAATTCGATCTACAAAGTGGAAGGAACAACGGTATAAAATTTCTAGTCAGTCTAACAGGAATCGTGAAGTTTATGCGGCTCAACAGATCAGGGCTGTCTATGTCAACAACAAAGGTTAATTTGCAGTGCTCTCACTATCGTCCATCTAGTTCTAGGAGCACCTCCGCCACCAGCTAAAGACAAATTATACATAAAAACAACAACACAATGCAATACCTATAAATTCTTTCTTTTACAGACGTAAAATGGATGAAACTAATCGCGATGCGTCCCAGTGTGGACGAGGTGTGTCGCAGTTTATGCTTGATGGTAAGTAGTTTGGACTCAGTCAGAGTTTCCTGTTTTTAAATATTTTTGTATAGATAATCAGGCAGGCTGCGTTTTTCATTTACTTTTTCGGATTACGTTTTAAGCCAAAACGTTTCGTTTTAAGGTTTCACATATTTTTGCTGTTTGCAAACGAAAATTGTGTTTGTCCTGGCCAATTTTTTCCGAGCCAAATTTGAGGTTAAAATACAATTTTTATAAAGGAAGCAAAAGTTAAATTACCCCGATATAGGTGTCAAGTTTATGTTAATGCATCAAAAAGTAATCTATTTTTTTCTTTTTGGAATTTAGGTTCCTTTCGTTGTATAAAAAGCCGTTTACTTTTCATTTCGTCAAGGAAAATGTTTTCGTTTTGAAAACGAATAAATCTTGCGGAATGTGAAAACTGGAGTCCCAATTTATGTGTATTGAAAAGTTAATTGGAAAACTTTTGTGAATGTTAAAAACGGAGATTGCAGATTGGATGGTTTGGGGATTCGGCGAGGACCCCTTCGTGGTGGCACGAGGGTAGGGGCAGAGTGGGACGATGTTGGTGGCTAGGCTATTTGATATGAACTTACGCAGTTGATGTCACTTGAGTACCTAGTCTGACTGGGTTTGACTCGCATAGCTCGAAATATTTGGCGGGCGTCCTCGCACGCCGGGGTTTCTGCAGGCTTTCTTCGCGCCAGTGTCATCTTTCCGTGGTGGATGGACTCGGGCGGCGAACCTGAGAAGCCGCGTGACCGACCGTTTGGTTCGCGGTAGGGGAAGTCCGCGTTACCTGGTGTGTTTGGTCTGCGTTTGTGGAGTCGTCATATGTCGATATGGCTATATGGCTTAGGGCTAAGAAAAAGTATGGGATGTCTGATGTAACATATTTAATAAATCTTATCTTTTAACGTATCGCTATAGGAGTTGTAACGAACCCTTTTAGGTTTACACGTTACACGGTGAAAGAAAAAAAGTAGAACATATATGTACATATGTGTCCAGCCGACTGGGGCCCGGAGGAGCCACTGGAGATGGGCAAGTGACGAATTCGTACTTATCTTGGATTGGGTTGGAAAGATTCACTGATGCTGGCTGGGGTGAACTTCTTCTTTTGATTAGGCGAAGATCCGGCTCGAAGGACCAATGTTTTTAGGGAGCGGATCGGGTCGCTGATACCCGGTGACAAATGTGCAAAAGAATCAAAGGCGAAGACGTGTAGTTCCAATAAAGGTGTTCCAGTGTGTTTTCGTATATTTCTGTCAGTATGTATAAGGTGCGAATATGCACGACGTAATTAAAACTTTGCTTAAGCGTTGCGCTGAGGTAGACGCCGTGTGGATCGTGGATCTTCCGAGAAGAAGAACAAGAAAAATTTATTTGCAATTATTTTTGCTTGTTTTTATATACTATTCTTAAAATCATATCATTAACGCACGTAAAATTAATAATATTCATTGACGTTCTTGGGTTCATGCCAAGTGAGGTACAAATAGGAAATTATAGCATAGCAAAAACAGACTGCTACGTGTTGCCGTCTCGCTTCTCCCCACGCTGGAGAAGGAACACTTGATGTCGACTCCAATATGCTGCCGTCTCGTTTTAATTCACCAATATATATGCAGAGGACTTTTTGCTTAATTTCATTTGATCAAGTACACGGTCTGGCAACGTACTGAGTGACACAGAACAAAAAAAAAAACGGTTGCTCTCCGAGCTCAAACGAGCTCGTTAAAGAGCCGATGCAAACGGTTGCTCTCTATAAGTCTTTTCTCAAAGTGTGAGTAAAAGACACTTATTTGCTGACATCGAGAAACGGTTTTTTGCGAGCTATGAATGAAAAATATGGATAAAAAAATTTGTGAAACCGGGAGCGCTTTAAAACGAAACATTTTGGTTGAAGACGTAATCCTCAAAAGTAAGTGAAACCCGGAGCCTGGCTGATTGACAATGGAAGGGAATATTTGTCTAACGAAATGCGTGAATTTTGTTCTGAAAAAGGTATCAGCTATCATTTGACTATTCCTCACAGTCCACAGCTAAATGGTATTTCTGAACGAATGATCAGAACAATTACAGAAAAGGCTTGTTCCATGGTAAATGAGCTAAAATGAAAACAAGTTTTTGGTGCGAAGCAATTTTACCTGCAACATAATTAATAAATAGATGCCCAACTCTAGAGTTAAAAGATGCTAAAAAAAACACCATTTAAATTGTGACATAGTAAAAAGCCTGTTTTTAAGTATTTTACAATATTTGGCTCAACGGTATACGTTGTTAATAATGAAAGAAAACAAAATGTCAATTTCGATGAAAAATCGATTAAATGTATACTTGTTGCATATGAACAAAATGGTTTAAAACTGTGGAATCAAGGAAGTTAATGGCAGCTAGAGATGTTGCGGCGGACGAAAAAAATATGTTAAATTCAAGATCTGTAGAAGATTGTGCTATACAGCCCGAAGACTCAATTTTCCAAAATGATAGACTGGAACAGTTAGACGATCCTTTTTTTGGATAATGAAAACCAAAAAAGGGAAGTCGATTTTCAAGTTGCACACACTGAAAATATAGAGTCTTGCTTTCCATTACCATAAATGGAAAATTTTGAAACTGTTAATGACAGTTCAAAAACAATATACAGACTTGTGAAAATTTAAAATAGTTACTGGTGAGACTGAAGAAATCAGACGAAGTAAAAGATTAAAAGACAATCCTAACATATATTATAGATTATTACAAAAATGTCTAATGCATTCTTATACTTACTTTAATAATATTCCAAATTGTTTTGAAGAAATAAAAAATGGGGATAATAACATTAATTGGGAAAAGGTAATTCAAGATGAGTTAGGTTCCCATTCTCAAAATAAAACATGGTCTTTGGTAGAAAGCCCTTAAAACAAAAATACAATCGATTATAAATGGGTGTTTACTATGAAACAAGATATACAGCCAGGCTCCGTTTTTCACATTCACAAAAGTTTTCCGATTTACTTTTGAAATCACATAAATTGGGGCTCTCTTTTTCCCATTCCGCAAGATTTCATCGTTTTCAAAACGAAAACATTTTCGTTGACGAAATGAAAAGTAAACGGCTTTTTATACAACAAAACGAACCTTAATTGCAAAAGGAAAAAAATAGATGACTTATTGATGCATTAACATAAACTTGATACCTATATCAGGGTAATTTAACTTGTGCTTTCTTTATAAATAATTTTATTTTAACCCAACCTAAAATTTGGCTCGGAAAAAACTGGCCACAGCAACAACAAATTTCGTTTTGGTGTAAGCAGCTGATGCATTCCGATTTGGTTATCGGAACGTTGGCAATTAATAAATTTTTGCGTATAACAGCACAAATGTGCATGTAACAGCTCAGACTGTGCTTGTAACATGCGCTTAACAGATCATCTGGGTGAGCACAGCTGTTTCCCGCCCAATATAATTCGGACTTCAAAATGTAACATATCGATAAAAAAAAATATGTGAAAAATGGAACACCTTAAAACGAAAACGAAACGTTTTGGCTGAAAACGTAATCCGCAAAAGTAAATGAAAAACGGAGCCTGCCTGATAATCGAAAATTTAGTTCGATATAAAGCAGGACTTGTAGCTCGTGCCTTCACGCAAGAACATCTGACGGATTGTTAAAAAACATTTCACCAGTTGCACGTACTTTTAGTTTTCAAGATATTCTGGTATTAGCAAATCAATACGATTTGAAAATTCATCATATGGATGTCATGACAACATTACTTTATGTTAATCTTAAAGAGGACATTTATATAAAGATTCCTTAAGGATTGACACATGATGAGGGTAAAGTATGCAAACTAAATAAAGCTAAAACACGCAGCTTGGTGCTGGTGATTTAAAAAAATTCCAAATTTTATTGGCATAACAATAGATAGACATGGGGATCAATTAGAAATCACTCAATTTATATAAAAAATGGTTTAAGAAAATTTACTAAGATATCTAAAAGGCACATTTAATTTAAAATTAACTTTTACAAATCATGTGAATTCTGAAAATATTATTTTTGGTCTTTATTCCGATTCTGATTGGGCGGAAAATGAAGCAGACAGAGGAAATACAAAAGGATACTTATTTAAAATTGTTTGCCTTTTTTACTGCAGTACCGTTAAACAAAAATCAGTAGCTTTATCTACTAAAGCGGAATACATGGCGTTATTCGAAAGTGTTAGAGAAGCCTTATGGTTAAAATCCAATCACTATATTTGAAGACAAACAGGGTTGCATAAGTATAGCGAATAATTCAAGCTCCTACAAGAGAACTAAGCACACATGTACATATGTAGATATTTAATATTGCTTCACTGAAGGATAAATTAAAAAGAAACTAATCTCTGTCAAGTATATTTCCACATATGAGAAATTGGCCTGATTTTTTGAAGAAACCGCTGTCCAAATTGGTTTGATAACTGCATTGTACAAAAGTACTTTATAGTCCAGTTTTAGTGGCGACGATGTAGATTTCTAGCTTTAAATTTCAGTAGATTTCTTTTAGCTTCGATATGTTTACGCCAAGGGAGCCGTCTATCAAAATGGACACCAAGCTATGTTACTTCGGTGGTTTATAAAATGTTGATGTTATTCAGAGACACTGGTGGGCACATTTTTATACCCGATACTCAAAATGAGTATTGGGGTATATTAGATTTGTGGTAAAAGTGGATGTGTGTAACGTCCAGAAGGAACCCTTTCCGACCCCATAAAGTATATATATTGTTGATCAGCATCAATAGCCGAGTCGATTGAGCCATGTCTGTCTGTCCGTCTGTCCGTCCGTCCGTCCGTCTGTCCGTTCCCTTCAGCGCCTAGTGCTCAAAGACTATAAGAACTAGAGCAACGATGTTTTGGATCCAGACTACTGTGATATGTCACTGCTACAAAAATATTTCAAAACTTCGCCCCGCCCACTTCCGCCCCCACAAAGGACGAAATTCTGTGGCATCCACATTTTTAAAGATACGATAAAACCA